AGTGGCCACAGTGAAAAGGCCAGGTGAGCAGCCAACTTATAAAAGGGGGCCTTAATAAGGTTTATTTTTGGTGGGATCTTTGGATGTAGGGGGGAAAAGTGCCAATTTTTTTTGTTTTGTTTTGTGTTTTTGGTATGTGCAGGAACCAAAGCCAGGACTCTGGTCCACAGGCCGACCCTCCAACCACTGAGCCAAACCAGCCAGGGCAGTGCCAATGTTTGATTAGATTTATTTGTGTCTCTAAATCACAGCAAAAATATACCCCCTCTGTCACAAGTGTGAAATTTCCATGTTCATGTCCTTGGCTCATGGCCTTTTGCTCCCTATATAATAGCGTCAAACAAGCTGTACCTAGATTAGCCTTTGGTGTTATGCAACACCCAGACAGGTGTGTGACTCTGCAGCCAGACAGCCCAAGCTTGCCAGATGTGTCACAAAGAACACACCCATCTGTTCATTTGGCACGTTACTGATGCTTGTGGGAAGGGGGACAGATGCGAGGGCCTGGCTTCCAGCCCCAGCAACAATAGCAATGACCTAAGAAGAATATTTACTTAGTATATTTACTCAGATGTTTGAAAATAAGCTTTAGAACAGTCAATAAAAATACCACAAACTGTGGAGGAACTTTGAGGTCATCAATTTCTTCTCCCTGGTATTGAACAATAATTATCCCATAACTCTCTGCATTTGAAGGGGGAAAAAAACACTTGTAAAAAAATGTATGTCTAGTCAGGCATGAGTCTAAAATGCAATCAATCTCTCTCTCTTGCCATATATACATATATCAGTCTATAGCTATACATATATCGATATACTGAACATAATATACATAGAAATCTCTATATAGACATAGTAACATATAAATATCTATTTTTTATACATTTTTATTATTATTATTATTTTATAGAAGGAAGGGTGAGGGAGAGAGAGATAGAAACATCGATGAGAGAGAAGTATCGATCGGATGCCTCCCGCACACCCCGCGCTGGGGACCGAGCCAGTGCTCTTTCTGTCTTCACATGGCTGGCTCCAGTGACTGTCTAGCATCCTTTCCTTTCCACTTGAGGGACTCCTTTTAGCATTTTTGTAGGGCAGGTCCACATGTTGCATGTGTTAGGACGTGGAGGTGTAAGCTAACCTGGAAGCATCTGGGGGAGGCCCTGGGCAGTCTTTTCTTAGATTAGAGCTGGACTCAGAGAGCTGTTATATTCTCTGCCTCATTCAGGCTTTGAAGTGGGAGTCCTGGTTCTGCCCGTAACCAGCCATGTGACTGTGGACAAGGTTACTATTCTTCCTTGGGCCTTCTCCTTATCTATTAAGTGTTGTAGATCAGGGTTGTCAAACTTTTTCTGAAAAGGCCAGATAGTAAGTATTTTAGACTCGCAGGCCACATAAAGTCACGACTACTCAGCTCTGCCATTGTAGTGCAAAAACAGCCACAGATCATAGAAAACCCAGTGGGTATGGCTGCGTGCCAATAAATTTATCTATGAACATAGGACGCAGGCCAGTTTAGTCTGTGGACTACAGTTTGCCAACCCCTATTCTAAATGGTCTTGGATAGTCCTTTAGCTTTCAAATTTAAAAGGTCTGATGATTACACTGTTGTTATCAGCGTCCTTTTACTTGTCGGAGTCCTTCTGGAGCATTACCTCTCCCAACAATACAGTGGGAGGAATTACTACCACTTATTTGTGTATCTGCGGACCAAGCATTTTTTTTTTCGTGGTGTACTTTATTTATTCCTCCCAACAAGACTACTAGGTGGATGCTATGATGATCACCATTTTACGTAAGAAGGAGCTAAGTTGAGAGCGGTTCTGTAGCAGGTCCAATGCCATTGAGTTGGTAACAGCAGAAAGCAAGCCAGTAGGATGCCAAAACCTTATGTTTTCTCTGTCTCATGTTTTCTATATTAAAGATTTGTAGAACAATAGAGAATTCAATTTTCTTGAGAGGGAAAACAAATCTTAACTATACGAATCTGAAGATTAAATCATAAAAATTCCACATAGACTCTTTAAATTATAAAATGATTAGTTGCTGACTCAAAGTGCCAATAAAAGAACATATTGATGCCCTCAAAAAAACTCACCATCTCTCTGGTGAACAAAATACAGTTCTGAATTAATTACAGTAGAAATGCTTTTTAAAAAATTATATGTTTTGATTGATTCTTTAGAGAGAAAGAGAGAAATATCAATCAGTTGCCTCCTGCACGCCCCTTACTGGGGATCAAGCCTGTAACAGGGGCATATGCCTGGACTGGAATCAAACTGGGACCTCTCAGTCCATGGAACGAAGCTCAATCCACTGAGCCACACCGGTTGGGCTACAGTAGAAATGCTTTTTTAAAAATCCTCACCAGAGGATATTTTTGCATTTATCTTCAGATAGAGCAGGAGGGAGAGAGGGAGAAACATCAACGTGAAAGAGACACATCGAGTGGTTGCCGCCCACACAACCCCAACCGGGGCCGGGGACAAACTGCAACCAAGGTATGTACTCTTAGTGGGAACCGAACCTAGGACTCTCTGGTCCACGGGCCAACGCTCTAACCGCTGAGCCAAACCGGCCAGGGCAGAAATGCTTTTAATTACTCTTTACTTACTGCACTTGCCAGACAGACTGACACATTCCCTCAGTACTGGCGGGCCCGCAGCACTCTGAGGGCATCTCTAGAGCATTCCACTTGGGTCCGGTGCTAGTTACAGCTCTGGAAGTTAGAAGTCCCAAATCAGTCTCATTGGGCTAAAGCCAGGCTTCTTTTTTCTGGAGGCACTGAGGGGAGAATCTTCTCTCTCGCCTTTTCAACTTCTAGAAGCTTCCTGCATTCCTTGGTTCATGGCCCTTCCTCATGTCACTCTGACCTCTTGCTTAGTCACGTGTTGGACTACTGACTCTGACGCTCCTTCCTCTATCTTATAAGGCCCCTTGTGATTATGCTGGGTCCATCCAGATAACCCGGGATAATCTCCCCATCTCAAAATCCTTATCTTAACCACACCTGCAAAATTCCTTTTGCCATGTAAGGTAACAGCCGCAGGTTCCTGGGATGAGGACGTGAATCTTTGGGGAGCCCTGATTCAGCCCCGCACAGGTTCCATCTCCCAGCTTCTCCCATGGGTGAATTGTACGCTTGCCAACAGTTGGTTGCTTCTGGACGTGTTATTGTGCTTATTCTTATAATTTGCTAATTTAATTTAAAAATTGTGAAACTAATGGAATTTGTGCGCAAAAAGAGAGTTGCAATATCTGTGGTAAATAAGTTAAATGGATTAAGGTAAGTCATTCTAAAAACAGTCAAATTAGGTGAGACTAAGAAAAATCTGTAAAAATTTGAGAAAAAGTTAGACTCCAGGAGAATATATATACACACACATATAAACCATGTGTGATAAGGATAGCTGTGTAAAAAAGTCGATGAAGAACCCTTCCCAAGAGAAACCTTACTGGGACTAAAGGACTAGGCCTCTCATCAAAAGATTGGGCAACAAATGTGCATTTAAATGCATTTATTAAAAGTTTAAAGCCCTGGCCGGTTTGGCTCAGCGGTTAGAACATCGGCCTGCGGTCCAGAAAGACCCGGGATCGGTTCCTGCTAGGGGCATTTACCTCGGTTGAAGTTTGTCCCCGGCCCTGGTTGGGTTGTGTGGGTGGCAACCAGTCGATGTGTCCCTTTCAGGTCGATGTTTCTCTCTCTCTTTCTCCCTCCCACTCTATCTGAACAAAAAAAAAAAAAAAAGGAAAAATGTCCTTGGATGAGGATTAAAAAAAAAAAGTTTAAAGTAGCCCTGGCTGCTGTGGCTCAGTTGTTCATCCCTGTGCACCAAAAGGTAACCTATGAGAAGGACTGTTTTAGAGAGCTTGACTCTTCCTTAAATGCACTGAACAGTTACTATGATGCACACAAAACAGAATGGTAACAGAGTTTATTAAGCACCTACTATGAGCCAAGTGAACAACCAGTGCTTTGCAAACCTTGTCCTATTTAATTCTCAGATGTCCCAGTCTTGTGAAATAGAGTTGACCTTTATTCTAAATAATGAAACGATCTTCTCTGCTCTCTGTGATCCCTTAAAAACCTTAAATAACCTTGAGTGTCTTAAAAACCTCAAATAATCGCGTTTTGAATTTCCATATGTAAAATATCTTGACATAATATTTCTTTGCTCTTTGTTTCCTGGGTTGCCAACTCACAACTGGGATGATCTCGGATGCCTTGATGATTTCAACCTAGAGAAAAGAGAGGCAACTCAAAAGCACTCCGCTTAGGACAGGGGTAAAATAAAATCAAAATTGCAAAAAATACATTCTATGAAGTGGAATTTGGGAATGATAAATCAGATTGAGCCAAATCTGGGAGCATTTGGAAGGCATTCTGGGTACTCCTACAGTGCGGCATGCCTCAGCAGTTTATGCAAAAAGGGAGGGCTTTCTCGAGGGGGCGCTGCGACAGTTTTTCCTTGCCTTGCCCAGACTGGAAGAGATGAAGTTCTTGTACCTTCTTGCTCTCTTCTCTGAGTTTGATGCTCAGCCCACACTGAACAGAAGGAATAGCAGCAGCACCCCAGATGTTGGGCACTATGGAGAGCCATGAACATGCGTGTTCCTTGCTCACTGGGTAGGTTTTCAGTGAACCTTCCTTTCGACTAAAATCCTTTCAATAAGAAAGATTCAGTGGGTCTCCAACCAGCTGTTCTCTTCATACAATCCAGGGGTGGCAGACAGAAGATCCCTAAAATTGCCCCAAGTGCACGGGGGAATTCTGAGTCCTAGTGCTCACTCCCTGGACTTCGCCCCAGAACTAAATCTAATTGTGTTGGGGACCCAGAGGTGCTGAGGAGCATTCCTTTCTCTCAGGCTTTCACAGAGTACATGTTGTATTCCAGAAGCAGAAATCTGAGTGTGGGAAGAGGTGGGTTAGCCTTGGAGGAAAGGAAATGTGGATCGTGAGTCTCTGAAAAGGGCTGGAGGCTAAAAAGTCAGGCTGGGCTGCGCTGCTTTGGAAGCACATAGACTACAATTGGAACGTTGCAGAGAAAATTAGCATGGCCCCTGCGGCAGGATGACATGCAAATTTGTGAAGCGTTCCATATTTTAAAAAAATTAGGCTGTGCTTACTGACCAAGCATGATTCAATGGGAGCTTTGCCAGCTCCCAATGTAGACTTAAAAGTACCTTAAATCTAAAAAAAATTCCTGCAAAGCAAGGAATGTTTCCTGCCTTTACTCTCTACCACTTGAATCCTTGAAGGGAGCATTATGTGTATCTAATCAGTCTATTTTTAAATACTTTTAAAGTTCTCCAGATGTATTAACATTTAGTACTGTTTTTACATTATTTCAACATTTACTTAAATGAAACCATAGTACAGGCAGACCTTGGAGATATTGCAGGTTTGGTTTCAGACCATCACAATAAAGCAAATATTGCAATAAAGTGAGCTACACGAATTTTATGTATTTATTTCCTTCAAGAACTTTTTTGTGCATTCACTAATTGTTTGGTGCAAAAGGCCTGGCTTTTAGCCTGTCTTAGCTTAAAAATTTTTTTTTTTTTTAATTATTGATTTTAGAGAGAGAGAAGAAGGGAGAAAGAGAGAGAGATAGAAACATTGATTTGTTGTTCCACTTAATTATTCATTCATTGGTTACATCTTGTATGTGCTCTGACTGGGGATGGAACCTGAATCCTTGGTATATTGGGACAACATTCTTACCAACTGAGCTACCTGGTCAGGGCTATCTTGGCTTTTGACATGCCTTCCTCATTAAGCTAAATGATTTTTTGCTTTTGATTTAAAGTGAGAGATGTGAAATTCTTTCTTACCCTTGAACATTCAGAGACCATTCATTGGCCTAATTTCAATATTGTTGTGTATCGGGGAATAGGGAGGCCAGAGTGGAGGGAGAGAGATGGCGGAACGGTGGGTCAGTGAAGCAATCAGAACACATCATTGATTGATTATATGGGCATGGTTTGAGATTCTCCAAAACAATTGTAATAGTAACATCAGAGATCACAGATCACAGATCACAACCCTGGCCAGTGTGGCTCAGCAGCTAGAGCACCGGCTGAAGGGTCTCAGGTTTGATTCCAGTAAAGGGAACAAACCTGGGTTGCAGGTTCGATCTCTGGGGAGGCAACCAGTTGATGTATCTCTCTCACATCAATGTTTCTCTCTCTCCCTCCCTCACTCCCTCCCTTCCACTGTACTTAAAAATTCAATGGAAAAATATCGTCAGGTGAGGATTTACAACAACAACAAAAAGGATCATTGATCACGGATCACTATAGCAAATATAAAAATAATAATAAAGTTTGAAATATTGCAAGAAATGTGACACAGAGACATGAAGTGAGGAAATGCTATTGAAAAAATGACACAGACTTGCTCAACCCAGGGTTACCACAAACCTTCAGTTTGTTAAAAATAAATATCTGCAAAGTGCAGTAAAAGTGAAATAAAACGAGGTGTTCCTGCATATATATCTCGAAACTTTCTATTCAGTAACTTGATATGTTTGGAGGTTTATACTGAGATTTGATATATACTTATTTTTTTTCCATTTTTATTTTTATTTATTTATTTTTAAATTTTATTTTTGTTATAGATGTTTCTCCTTTTTTTCCTCATTGACACCCTCCTCCCGATCTGCCCCACCACGCCCTGGCTTTGTTGTCTGTGTCCATTGGTTATGTGTACATGCATATAAGTTCTGTGGTTTATTTCTTCCCTCCCCCCATCACCCCCTATTCTGAGGGTTGTCAGTCTGTACCCTACTTCCACGTCTCTGGGTCTACCCTATTCCTCAGACTGTTATGTTCATTACATTCCACAAATAAGTGAGATCATGTGGTATTTGTCTTTTTCTGCTTGGTTTGTTTCGCTTAGGATAATACTTTCCAGGCCCCTTCATGTTATCTCAAAGGATAAGAGATCTTTCTTTCTTACAGCTGCATAGTACTCCATTGTGTATATGTACAACTGCTTTTTTATCCATTTGTTTACTGATCGACACTTGGGCTGTTTCCAGATCTTAGTTAGCTATTGTAAATAGTGCTGCTATGAACATGGGGGTACATATACTCTTTCTGATTGGTGTTTCAGGCTTCTAAGGGAATATTCCTAGAAGTGGAATCACTGGGTCAAATGGCAATTCAATTTTTAATTTTTTGAGGTAACACCATAGTGTTTTCCATAGTGGCTGCACCAGTCTGCATTCCCACCAGCAGTGTACTAGAGCCCCCTTTTCTCCACACCCTCGCCAACACTTGTTGTTTGATGATTTGTTGATGGTGGCCATTCTGACAGGTGTGAGGTGATACCTCATTGTTGTTTTAACTTGCATCTCTTTGATGATTAGTGATGTTGAGCATTTCTTCATATGTCTCCTGGCCCTTTGTATGTCCTGTTTGAAGAGGTGTCTATTCAGTTCCTCTGCTCATTTTTTAATTGGATTCTTTGTCTTCCTTTTGTTGAGTTGTTTGAGTACTCTATATATTTTGGAAATTAACCCCTTATCTGATGTATCATTGGCAATGATGTTCTCCCATACAGTGGGTTGCCTTTCCATTTTGATGGTTGTTTCTTTTGCTGTGCAGAAGCTTTTGAGTTTTATGTAGTCCCATGTGTTCATTTTTTCCTTTGTTTCTCTTGCCTTAGGTGATGTATCAGTGAAAATTCTGTTGCATATGATGTCTGAAATTTTGTTGTCTACATTTTCTTCTAGGATTTTTATGGAATCATGGGTCACATTGAAGTCTTTTTTCCATTTTGAGTTTATTCTTGTGTATGGTGTAAGTTGATGGTCTAGTTTCATTTTTTTGCATGTAGCTGTCAAATTTTCCCAACACCATTTATTAAAGAGGCTGTCTTTACTCCATTGTATGCTCTTGCCTCCTTTGTCAAATATGAATTGAGCATAATGTCTTGGGTCCATTTCTGGGTTCTCTGTTCTGTTCCACTGGTCTATATGCCTGTTCTTGTGCCAGTACCAGGCTGTTTTGATTACAGTTGCTTTGTAGTATAAACTGATATCTGGTATTGTGATCCCACCTACTTTGTCCTTCTTATTCAAGATTGCTGTGGCTATTCGGGTCTTTTTTGGTTTCATATGAACTTTTGAAGTGTTTGTTCTAGTTCTGTGAAATACGTCATTGGTATTTTGATGGGGATTGCATTGAATCTATAGATTCCTTTGGGTAATATGGACATTTTATTTTTTATTTTATTTTTTTATCCTCATCTGAGGACATTTTTCTATTTTTTGTTCAGGTAGAGTGGGAGAGGGAGAGGAAGAGAGAGAGAAACATCGATGTGAAAGGGACACATCGAGTGGCTGCCACCCGCACGACCAACCAGGGCCGGGGACAAACTGCAACCGAGGTACATGCCCTTAGCGGGAACCGAACCCGGGTCTCTCGGGACCACAGGCCGAAGCTCTAACCGCTGAGCCAAACTGGCCAGGGCAATATGGACATTTTAATGATGTTAATTATTCCAATCCATGAACAAGGTATGTGCTTCCACTTTTTTATATCTTCCTCTCTTTCTTTTTTCAATGTCCTGTAGTTTTCTGCAAATAGGTCCTTTACTTCTTTGTTTAAGTTTATTCCTAGGTTTCTTAATTTTTTTGCCGCGATGGTAAATGGGATTATTTTTTCAGTTTCTCTTTCTGTGAGTGCATCGTTGGTGTATGAGAATGCCATCGATTTCTTGACATTAACTTTGTATCCTGCTACTTTGCCAAATTCACTGATTAAGTCTAGTAGATTTTTGATGGGGTCTTTAGGGTTTTCTATGTATAATATCATGACATCTGCAAATAATGAGTTTCACTTCCTCCTTTCCCATTTGGATCCCGTTTATTTTTCTTCATGTCTGATTGCTGTGGCTAAGACTTCCAGTACTATGTTAAATAAGATTGGCGAAGGTGGGCATCGCTGTCTTGTTCCTGTTCTTAAGGGAAATGCTTTTAGTTTCTGCCCATTGAGTATGATGTTGTCTGTAGGTCTTTCATATATGGCCTTTATTATGTCGAGATATGATCCCTTTATTCCCACATTGCTGAGCATTTTTATCAGAAATGGATGATGGATTTTGTTGAATGCGTTTTCAGCATCTATTGATATGATCATGTGGTTTTTATTCTTCATTTTGTTTATGTGGTGTATCACATTGATTGATTTGCGAATATTATACCAGTTTTGCATCCCTGGGATGAATCCCACTTGGTCATGGTGAATAATTTTTTTGATGTGTTGCTGGATCCGATTTGCTTGTATTTTGTTCTGGATTTTGGCGTCTATGTTCATCAGGGTATTGGCCCGTAGTTTTCTTTCTTTGTAGTGTCTTTTTCTGTTTTTGGAATTAGAATTATGCTGGCCTCATAAAACGAGTTTGGAAGTCTTCCTTCTTCTTGAATTTTTAGAAAATAGTTTGAGGAGAATGGGTATTAGTTCTTTTTTGAATGTTCGGTAAAACTCCCCAGTGAAGCCATCTGGGCCTGGGCTTTTGTTTGCTGGGAGAGTCTTGATTACCTCTTTAATTTCCTTAGTTGTTATTGGTCTGTTTAAGTTTTCTATCTGTTTTCAGTCCAGTTTTGGGAGACTGTGTGTTTCTAGAAAATTGTCCATTTTGCTTAGATTGTTGAAGGTGTTGCCATATAATTGTTCATAGTAGTTGTTAACAATCTTTTGTATTTCTGTGGTGTCAGTTGTTACTTCTCCTCTTTCATTTCTGATTTTGTGTATTTGAGTTCTCTCTCTTTGTGTTTTGGTGAGTCTAGGGTCCATCAATCTTGTTTATGTTTAAAAAAACTAGCTCTTTGTTTTGTTGATCCTTTGAATTGTTTTTTTTGTCTCTATGTCATTTATTTCTGCTCTGATCTTTACTATTTCCTTCCTTCTACTTGCGCCATGGTTTTCTTTTTGTTTGCTTTCTAGTTCTTTAAGTTGTGAGGTTAGATAGTCTATTAGAAATTTTTCTCATTTCTTGAGGTAGGCCTGTAGTGCTATGAACTTCCCTCTCAGAACTGCTTTTGTTGCATCCCATAGATTTTGTGTTGTTGTGTGTTCATTTTCATTGGTTTCCAGGA